GGACGCAACTAGGAGAAAGAGATATGATGGTGACTTGGAGTAGGGTTGGAGGATCCAACATGACTATGACTTAAAAAGGTTGATGTTGTGATAAGACTGTGACTTGTAGGAGGTTGATGCGTGATTCAAAGAAGGAGATAATATAAAGGTGACTAAGAGGATGTGACATGTCAATTACTTCGAGAATGCTTGGGAGAGGGACATGATTATAAATTAGAGAAGGTGTATGCAGTAACTTGAGAAGGGTAGGAGGTGACTTTATGGAGGCAACATGACAATAACTTATTGTGACATTATGACTACTAGATGGAAGAGGCTTGGATGTGAATTAGAGGAGTTATAATGACGACTTATATGAGGAGGAAATGATAGAAGGGAGGATAAGGAAATCTAGTTCTTTACCATAATTTTCTCCATAATTCTTAGTTAGTAACTTGTTACGAGAGAGAAAAGATTGGCTAGTTAGTAGATTTTTTTCCTCAAAATTCGATATACACAAAGCTTTTTTGTTTTTTTTTTCTCGATTTCTTGAGGCTTTGATTAAGAGGATTTAAGAGTCTTGGGGCATCAATTCGAAGGAAAATCACTAAATCAAGTTTTGCTTTTCTCCTCTTAAGTTATCCCTCGTTTGTTGATGGTTTTGAGTAGTTTTCATTCCAATCAACTCATCTTCACCGTTGATTCATGGAAGAAATTTAGACGATTCGTTATGAAAGGCTCCCCACTAGAGCTAATTGTGAAAATGGGAAAGAAATTTCGATGGTGCTTACCTTTTCTCTTATTCTAGAATCTATTTGGGAAATTTAGAGAAATTTGTAGTGGAAACCGAGCGAATTTTGGTTGAAAGTTGAGCATTTCCCATTGCTTATAACATTACTTTCTAAAAAAAAAAATTCAAAGTATTTTCTCACTCACGTCTTCTAAAATATTTTGCACAAATTTGACATGAGAAAAAGGATATGCCAATATTGTCCAGGAAGTGCAAATTTCACATGTCTGACTTATTCGCTGGGTTAGAAAAAGTGTCACTCAATCGTTGTCTCTCTGTTGCGATTGTGCAATTGTGACAGTATGCACGTGGTAAGCCAGTTTGGCTTGTTTGACCCTCATTCAGCCACTTTTGTCTTGATTATGATCTAACCCTAATTATACCATCCCACCAGAGACATTTTAGAAAATTTAGAGCCTCTAACACGCAGAAAAGCTAGCTCAAGCATACTTCATCCATGTAAGTAGCGAAACAAACTTTAGACAAGTAATACTTGTAAGGGTCACTAGGATGTGCTAGCATGCCAACCTTTCTTATCTTAAATGGTTAGAAAATGCATGTTCAAGACTTCAAAAGGGCAATTTTTTATAAGAATGCATTGTATGTATAATATGAAAAATTATCGTTATACCCCTAGGATAAGATTTTAAGATCCATGTTGTTTTCAGGACTATAATACAAGTTGGGCAATATGGATGAGTAAGCTATATAAGATGTAAGAAAGTATCAAAATACTTCTGCGATAATATTTGTGATGAATTGTGCTCTAAATTTTTTTCTAGGATGGGCTATTGTGATCTGTGCTCCGGGTGATTGATGGTTATAATCTCACCGTTGAGCTTGTTTATTTGCATGAATGTTTATTTTATGTTTTTAGTGATTTATGTGATTGATAGGATATCTCCCTTATAAGCTTGCACAAATGTTTAGATTATGTATACCATGCTCTAGGTGGTCGATAGGATAATCTCCCCAGCGAAGCATGCACAAGAGCACCAAGCTAAGACTAGGGCACTAGAGCTAAAGTGATTGCAAGTTGACCTAAGTCAGTACATTTTTTGTAGATCCTATACCCTAGGATCATGAGCGGGTGATCACAGGTCTAGACCTGTGTGCACCTGGATAGTAGATTAGTTCAAGGAGTTAGTCCTAGTCGTCCCAGAAAAGAGAGGCAAGCTTTAAACTGCCTAAATGCTCTTAAGAACCAAGTAGAGCTCCAAATATGTACGGTGTCACCAGTTTAATGATGTCATCAAAGTCTCCGCTACCCTTTCCCCTCTTATACCCATATTTTCAAGTTTTTACTATGATACCCCTACTATCGAGTCACGCATGGGCTGATTAGGTTTGTGTGACCTGACAATTAAATTGGATTATCCTACATAATAGATCTATCTTGAGAGTGGCAATGGAATCATGTGGGTAATCTTAGAAGTTGATAAGCAAATAGGTCGCTCCCCCGACCCTGGGTGATTATATAATACTGAGGGAAAGTTCACCAACTAACCTCCCATGAATGATGAGTAGTCAAGTACACATCATACTACCACACAAGGGAGAGAATTCTACGAGGTCACGCCTTAACCCAAGTCACTGATTTTACACTACACAGGCAAAGCAAGCTACCCTAAGTCAAAGAACAGAATAGCTCACCCGAAAGAGACTTGTCGCTTGACATATCCACGATGCCAGGAAAGGGTGAACCTTCTCCTATGAACCTAAAGTGGGTTCCTGAGCAGCTTAAGTAACGCTTGAAACTTCAAGGCAGCCCCAGATGCCCAGATAGCAGTAGAGACTAGGCCTGAACATTCTAGAGCTCAGAGTAAAACTCGTGCATACCTACTAGATTAAGAATGTGTTGAGACCGAACAAGTTGGTTGCTTACTAAGTATTTTTATACTCACTATTTCTCCATTCTTTTTTAGGTGTTCCCATGTTGTTAGTTGAGGTTGATGGGTGTTTGAGAGTTCTGCAGCCATAGAGTGGGTAATTCTACGGAATCAGTCTATCTTTATATTTTGAGTCATTTGTACTTCAATTTGTAATTGTATCTCAAATCCATTTCTCTATTTAAAATAAATTTGAACGGTACCATCCTCTAATGAGATTCCTTTTTTGTTTAATTGTGGTGTTGTTTGTCTCTATTTCGATTTAAATTCTACCTCATTTATCTTTTATTTTATTTTACTTTATCTTATATTTCCTTTTGGTCTTTGCCTTTTTATCACGGTTCGAGTTTCAAAACTTAAAAATTTGGGTTGTGACATTTCTCCACATAGATTAATCTTTTGGTCTTTGTCTTTTTATCACGGTTCGAGTTTCAAGAATTTAGATGTTAATTAACTTATTGTCAAGAGTGTCTAATCTACAACTTCCTTAGAAAAGTCTTTAAAAATTGCCTCTTTGCCTTAGAGATTGTAACCCATCTACAGTTGAGAAGTTGGGGTTCTTGGGGCTTAATTACTCTCCGATTAGTAAAGATCATCTAGTTGTTGCTTTGATAATCACCATTTATAAGCTATCTTTTCTTTCCTTTCTTCTCTTGATTCTTCCATGAAATTACTATTGTGTTATTGAATCCTATGAAATCCCACTTTTGAGCTTTATTGTGAAATTCCACTTTTGAGTTTTATTGTGAAATCCCACATCGGTTGGACAGAAACGAATCATTTCTTATATAAGTATGCGAGTGGTTAAGGAGGAATTCTGCTCACATTGGTTGGATAGGGAACAAATAATTTCTTATATAAGTATGTCCAAGAGGTTAAGGAGGAATTTTGCTATTGATGACTTGAGATCCCACATGGGTAGGATAGAGAATGAATCTTTCCTTTATAAGTATGTCAATGTTTTTGAGTGGTTAGGGAGACTTAAATTTGTTGGGCTTTGCTTGCATAGGTTCAAATCTTGTTGTGATGACTTTTTAGCTTTATTGTGAAATCCCACATCTCGAACCAATCATTCTTATACAAGCAGTATCAATATGTCTGAGTGGTTGATGAGACTTTTTAGCTTTATTGTGAAATCCCACATCTCGAACCAATTATTCTTATACAAGGGGTATCAATATGTCTGAGTGGTTGATGAGACTTTTTAGCTTTATTGTGAAATCCCACATCGGTTGGACAGGAAACGAATCATTCTTATACAAGGGGTGTCAATATGTCCGAGTGGTTAAGGAGGAATTCTGCTATTTGCGACTTTTTAGCTTTATTGTGAGATCCCACTTTGGTTGAATAGGGAACGAATCATTCCTTATATAGGGTGTCAATAAGTCTACTAGTTAAGAAGACATACTAGAAATCTATTGGGCTATATAAGGGGTGTCAATATGTCCGAGTGGTTAAGGGGAACGAATCATTCCTTACATAAGGGGTGTCAATATGTCCGAGTCGTTAACGAGACAGATTCGAAATTTGTTGGGCCATGCCTGCACGGTTCGAATCCTACTGTTGACGAATTTTTAGCTTTATTGTGAAATCACACGTTAGTTGAACAAGGAACGAATCATTCTTTATATAAGGGTGTCAATATGTCCGAATGGTTAAGGAGACAAACTTGAAATTTGGCTAAAGAATCATTCTTTATATAAGGGTGTCACAATATGTCCGAATGGTTAAGGAGACAAACTCGAAATTCGGCTATGCAATTTTTAGATTTATTATCAAATCCCACATCCTACATAATACTTATATAAGTGAAAGTGGGATACTGTTGTTGTCACAATCAGTAGTACTTGAGAATCTAAGAAACTAAAGTTTGGGGTGTCAATATGTTAGAGTGGTTAAGGAAACAGACTAGAAATCTGTTGGCCTATGCCTGCATAGGTTTGAATCTTGTTATTGATGTATTTTTAGCTTTATTGTGAAAACACAACTCGGTTGAACAAGGAACGAATCATTCTTTATATAAGTGTGTCAATATGTCTGAATGGGTAACGAGACAAACTCAAAATTTGGGCAATTTTTAGCTTTATTATGAAATCCCACCTCCTACATAATACTTATACAAGTGGAAGTGGGATACTATTGTTGCCACAATCTGTAGTACTCGAGAATCTGAGAAATAGAAATTTGGAGTGTCAATATGTTTGAGTGGTTAAGGAGACAGACTCGAAATCTGTTGGGTTATGGCCTGCATAGGTTTGAATCCTGCTATTGACGTATTTTTAGCTTTATTGTCAAAACACACATCGGTTGAACATGTAACGAATCATTCTTTATATAAGGGTGTCAATATGTCTGAGTGGTTAAGGAGAAAGACTTGAAATCTGTTGGGCTTTGCCTGCGTAGGTTTAAATCCTACTATTGACGTATTTTTAGCTTTATTGTGAAAACACACATCGATTGAACAAGGAAGGAATCATTCTTTATATAAGGGTGTCTCGGAATGGTTAAGGAGACGAAATCGAAATTTGGCTATGCAATTTTTAGCTTTATTATGAAATCCCACATCCTACATATATAAGTGGAAGTGGGATACTGTTGTTGCCACAATCAGTAGTACCCGAGAATCTGAGAAATAAAAGTCTAGGGTGTCAATATGTCCGAGTGGTTAAGGAGATAGACTCGAAATCTGTTGGGCTATGCCTCGAATCCTGTTATTGACGTATTTTTAGCTTCATTGTCAAAACACACATCGGTTGAACATGGAACGAATCATTCTTTATATAAGGGTGTCAATAAGTCAGAATGGTTAAGGAGACAAACTTGAAATTTGGCTATGCAATTTTTAGCTTTATTATGAAGACGTATTTTTAGCTTCATTGTCAAAACACACATCGATTGAACATGGAACGAATCATTCTTTATATAAGGGTGTCAATAAGTCGGAATGGTTAAGGAGACAAACTCGAAATTTGGCTATGCAATTTATTAGCTTTATTATGAAGACGTATTTTTAGCTTCATTGTCGAAACACACATCGATTGAACATGAAACGAATCATTCTTTATATAAGGGTGTCAATAAGTCGGAATGGTTAAGGAGACAAACTTGAAATTTGGCTATGCAATTTTTAGCTTTATTATGAAGACGTATTTTTAGCTTCATTGTCAAAACACACATCGATTGAACATGGAACGAATCATTCTTTATATAAGGGTGTCAATAAGTCGGAATGGTTAAGGAGACAAACTCGAAATTTGGCTATGCAATTTATTAGCTTTATTATGAAATCCCACATCCTACATAATACTTATATAAGTGGAAGTCAGATACTGTTGTTGCTACAATCAGTAGTACTCGAGAATCTGAGAAACTAAAGTTTGGGCTGTTAATATGTTCGAGTGGTTAAGGAGATAGAATCGAAATCTGTTGGGCTATGCTTGCGTAGGTTTGAATCCAGCTATTGACCTATTTTTAGCTTTAATGTGAAAACACACATCGGTTGAACAAAGGCTATGCCTGCGTAGGTTCGAATCCTGCTATTGACGTATTTTTAGCTTCATTGTCAAAACACACATCGGTTGAACATGGAACGAATCATTCTTTATATAAGGGTGTCAATATGTCCGAATGGTTATGGAGACAAACTCGAAATTTGGTTATGCAATTTTTAGCTTTATTATGAAATCCCACATCTTACATAATACTTATAAGTGGGATACTGTTGTTGCCAGAATTAGTAGTACTTGAGAATCTGAGAAATTAAAGTTTGGGGTGTCAATATGTCCGAGTGGTTAAGGAGACAGACTCGAAATCTGTTGGGCTATGCCTGCGTAGGTTCAAATCCTGCTATTGACGTATTTTTATCTTTATTGTGAAAACACACATCGATTGAACAAGGAACGAATCATTCTTTATATAAGGGTGTCAATATGTCGGCATGGTTAAGCAGACAAAGTCGAAATTTGGCTATGCATTTATTATGAAATCTCACATCCTACATAACACTTGTATAAGTGGAAGTGGGATAATGTTGTTGCCACAATTAGTAGTACTCGAGAATCTGATAAACTAAAGTTTGGGGATATGTCGGCATGGTTAAGCAGACAAAGTCGAAATTTGGCTATGCATTTATTATGAAATCTCACATCCTACATAATACTTGTATAAGTGGAAGTGGGATAATGTTGTTGCCACAATTAGTAGTACTCGAGAATCTGATAAACTAAAGTTTGGGGTGTTAATATGTCTGAGTGGTTAAGGAGACAGACTCGAAATCTGTTGGTCTATGCCTGCCTAGGTTTGAATCTTGCTATTGACCTATTTTTAGCTTTATTGTGAAAACACACATCGATTGAACAAGGAACGAATTATTCTTTATATAAGGGTGTCAATACTTCGGAATGGTTAAGGAGACAAACTCGAAATTACTCGAAATCTGTTGGTCTATGCCTGCCTAGGTTTGAATCTTGCTAAACGAATCATTCTTTATATAAGGGTGTCAATACTTCGGAATGGTTAAGGAGACAAACTCCAAATTACTCGAAATTTGTTGGTCTATGCCTGCCTAGGTTTGAATCTTGCTATTGATCTATTTTTAGCTTTGTTGTGAAAACACACATCGATTGAACAAGGAACGAATCATTCTTTATATAAGGGTGTCAATACTTCGGAATGGTTAGGGAGACAAACTCGAAATTTGGCTATACAATTTATTAGCTTTATTATGAAATCCCACATCCTACATAATACTTATATAAGTGGAAGTGGGATACTGTTGTTGCCACAATCAGTAATACCTGAGAATTGGAGAAATTGAAGTTTTTGGTGTCAATATGTCCGAGTGGTTAAGGAGACAACTCGAAATCTGTTGTGCTACGATTGCGTAGGTTCGAATCTTACTATCGACGCATTTTTAGCTTTATTGTGAAAACACACATCGGTTGAACATGGAACGAATCATTCTTTATAAGGGTGTCAATATGTCGGATTTGGGGTGTCAATATGTCCGAGTGGTTGAACAAGGAACGATCATTCTTTATATAAGGGTGTCAATATGTAGGAATGGTTAAGGAGACAAACTCGAAATTTGGCTATCCAATTTTTAGCTTTATTATGAAATCTCACATCCTACATAATACTTATATAAGTGGAAGTGGGATACTGTTGTTGCCACAATCAATAGTACCTGAGAATCGGAGAAACTGAAGTTTGGGGTGTCAATATGTTCGAGTGGTTAAGGAGAGAGACTCGAAATCTATTGGGCTATGCCTACGCATTTTTAGCTTTCTTGTGAAAACACACATCGGTGAACATGGAACGAATCATTCTTTATATAGGTGTGTCAATATGTCTGAATTGTTTAGGAAACAAAATCTAAATTTGGCTGCAATTTTTAGCTTTATTATGAAATCCCACATCCTACATAATAAAACTAAAGTTTAGGGTGTCAATATGCCCGAGTGGTTAAGGAGACAAACTCGAAATCTGTTGGGATATCCTTGCGTAGGTTCAAATCCTGCTATTGACGTAATTTTTTCTTTATTGTGAAAACACACATCAGTTGAACAAGGAACGAATCATTCTTTATATAAGGGTGTCAATATGTCGGAATGGTTTAGGAAACAAAATCGAAATTTGGCTGCAATTTTTAGCTTTATTATGAAATCCCAATTCTACATAATACTTATATAAGTGGGATATTGTTGTCGCCACGATCAGTAGTACTCGAGAATCTGAGAAATTAAAGTTTGGGGTGTCAATATGTCTGAGTGGTTAAGGAGACAGAGTCGAAATCTGTTGGGCTATCCCTATGTAGGTTTGAATCTTGCTATTGACGTATTTTTAGCTTTATCGTGAAAACACACATTGGTTGAACAAGGAACGAATCATTCTTTATATAAGGTAAGGGTGTCAATATAATATGTCCGAATGGTTAAGGAGACGAACTAGAAATTTGGCTATGCAATTTTTAGTTTTATTATGAAATCCAATTTTTAGTTTTATTATGGAATCCCACTTCGTACATAATACTTATATAAGTGGAAGTGGGGTACTGTTTTTGCCACAATCAGTAGTACTCGAGAATCTTGTTTGATGAAGAAATTTGAGAAACTGAAGTTTGATGTAGAAATCTGAGAAACTAAAGTTTGATGTAGAAATCTGAGAAACTGAAGTTTGATTCAGAAATCAGAGAAACTAATGTTTAATGAAATCCGATAAGAAACTGAAGTTTGATTTAGAAACCTGTGAAACTGATGTTTAATGAAATACTAGAAGAAACTGAAGTTTGATAAAATCCGAGAAGTAGTTTCAGCGAAAGTAAACGCAAACGAGAAATGAAAGTGGGATACTATTGTTGCCACAATTAGTAGTACCCGAGAATCTGAGAAACTGAAGTTTGATGAAGAAATTCGAGAAGTAGTTCTCAGCGAAAGTATACGCAAACGAGAAATTGAAGATCTGAGACACTGATGTTTAATGAAATCCAAGAAGAAACTGAAGTTTGACGAATTTTTAGCTTTATTGTGAAATCACACATCGACTGAACAGGGAAAGAATCATTCTTTACATAAGGGGTGTCAATATGTCTGAGTGGTTAATGAGGCAGACTCGAAATGCTATGCCTGCGTAGGTTCAAATCTTACCATTGACGAATTTTTAGCTTTATTGTGAAATCACACATCGGTTGAACAAGTAACAAATCATTTCTTATATTAGGGGTGTTAATATGTAGTGGTTAAGGAGACCAACTTGAAATCGGTTGGGCTATGCCTGCACAGGTCCTGTCAATATGTCCGAGTGGTTAAGGGTAAGGGGTGTCAATATGTCCGAGTGGTTAAGGGTAAGGGGTGTCAATATGTCCGAGTGGTTAAGGGTAAGGGGTGTCAATATGTCC